TTTGAGAAGGGTGATCGGTATCGCTATTGAATTGCCTATCGTGCCTTCGCGGCTAAAACGCAGTCCGCCCAACATGTTCACGCAGTTTCATAATGACTCCTTTCCGCTCTTACAAGTAATAATCCATAGCATGAGTCCCACATCTTGTGGCAGAATATTTCCACCAGTGCCCAATCAGAGACAAAATATGGTGCTGTATTCTTATATTAATTTTTGGAGGCCAGATACGCTCTGCTATCTTCGACAAGAGTTACGAGGACCGAAACTGACAGAGATGAAAACCGGATAGTCCGAGGACTATAAACATTTAGTTTTATAGACAGATATTTGTATTAGTGATTCTAAGTTTAGGTACCTGGGCTGGCAATGCGGCGCTCGCATGATGTACTTTTTTATTTCTTTAACACATAATTTTATGCGGGTGACCAAATGTGGCAAGAAATGTTCTGTTAGAAATATGTTTACATAAATAGGTTATTACAAAACCCGGCACCCCGCTTTTCACGCACGCCAGTCGTCAAATAAATAAAAATGCTATGAATTCGCATTCTGTTCGTGATAATTTCTCTTTCATCTCCAAATGTTGTATTTACAGTCCGCAGTTTACACACGTAAGTTATACTATTTTAATATTATGGATGATATTATGTTTCACGTGCAAGAAGTAGGGAGCCAGATACCGTTTAAAATGTTGCACCATAGTAAAATGTGAATTTTACTCTATTTTGAAGCAGCAAATATAAAGAAATCTATGAAACATGCAATATACGTAACCTGAGGCTCATGTGGGAAACCCATAAGATTACTAACAAAAACTAAAGTCCACTTTCTATAGTTCGCTCCACACGGGTGTCGATATCTCGAATCGTAGAACATGCCGTATAGGAAAAAAAAAAAAAAGATTTTTTTTTCAACGACGTTGGAAAGTTTTCACGTATCAGTCGCGACTGTCACGCCTCCTGGTTTGCCCGATTGTATTGTTATTATTTATTGCATTTTTTAGTTCTTGCTTCGTTCTTTCCCAGTACAAGATATGTAAACAACGTGCCTAGTTTTTTTTTTATTGTGGTGACGGATGACATGACGACATGTTGCATCGAGCATCTATTCATGAAGGACGTTTTTACTGACTGTATTCATTTTAATTTATTTTTCAGGATAAGTTTTGGAGTAATCGGAATTTTAGTTGTCTGCAGCACCTTGTACGATATATTTATGTACGCTACAGGATTCAAGAATTCTAACCAAGGTATGTGTTGTTTTTGAAACTTAAATTCTGAATCCGGATATATGCGATTTTAATTTCACTCACATCAACCCACTTCCCAAGCATTAATATTCAGTATTTATACAAAATGGTGGAAGAAAGATATATTACATCTTTGAGGATATAGAAAAAAAAAAACAGGTACGTGAGCCCCAAGTAAAGTGCTTCGGAGCGCATGATGTTTATTGAATATGAAAATAAGTAAAACTTGGAACCCACCATGGGCACAAGCTTCTACCACCCGTCACTGAGCGGCATGCTCAAATCGCTGCAGCGGCAGCTAAAAGTTTCGACCTCGGCACGATATGAACGACTTTACTAGGCCGATTATATACCGTTCATCCTCTTCGGCATTAGATCAGCTTTCACACAATACCTGAGATGCCCCTCAGCGGCATCGGGGCTTAGATCGCTGCTCCAGAACCTGGAGCATTTTTTGACGCATCCAAATGTACAGTGGTGTAATAAGCCAGCGAGCATGGTGCGTAGCTCAAGACCTGCGGTCTTGAGCTACGCACCATGCTCGCGGCGAGAGGAACCATGCGAGTAGGTGGCCGGCCAGGTACAAGAGTAACGGCTGTCAAGATATGGCGGCGAATGATTTAAAACAGGCAGGCGCTATCAAACGGAAGAAGGGGGGGTAGACGAATATTGGTTGCCGCTAATCTCGCAACTGGCTGGCGCCCTTCTCGCGTGGTTCCTCTCACCGCCAGCATGACACGCGCGCGTCGCTTGACACCGTACGCTCCTGTGGCTCTACGACACTTCCACGACCCTACGCCTAGTTTTCCACGATCATCGTACCTAGAAAACTTACGACGATTGAAATAAAAACTTCAAGCCACAACTCCTTGGATAGTATTGAGAACAACGGGGAAATTACATTCAGGAACTCTTATGGGATAAGTCTCAAGGGTTTTAATAAACTCCTGAATTGTTAGCCTAAGAGTATATTTGTCTCCTTTGGCGGTAAGGTGTGTGTTTCTTTTTCCTTCTTAAAAAGACAACAACAAAGCATTTTCCGTTGTTCCCATGTGTCCGCTGTCCTGTGGGATCTTTTTGAACGCAGTGCAAGAAAACTATTCTTTATAAAGCTGGGGGCGAATACAATTTCAAAATCTTTAGATATACCGATGGTTACTGTCTCCTTCGTCCGCCCGCCTAATAAGCTCATTGACAAGATGGTAACTGTTTTGATGGGCATGTTTGCGTTATGCTTTTATAGTATGAAGTTTACACATGAGAGAACCTCGAGGGCTTTTGGAGTCTTTTTTTTTTCAGTCTAGAACTTACATATTTGGACGACTATGTCGCTCAAAAATAAGTATGCTCCCTTTTTAACTCCGCCCATTTTAAGCTAGTTAGAAGAAGTATTGGGTCTTCGTGCCCAGGCGCGGCTTTGAGTAAGTTGTGTCCCCATTAAATTGACAGGAGCTTCCTCAGACAGGTCGATACGCTCGTGTGTGCGTGTTTCCCGTATACGTCTTTGGTTAAAGCTGCTGACCGCCTAATAAAGTAATTTAAATTAATAACAAAAATGTCCGTAAACGCCGAAAATAACACCTGCCGCAAGTCTTTACATTCACGCGATCTCTCCTAGCTTGAAAAAAAGTTGCGCAGAGCTTCATTTTTCCGGGGTTTTTTTTGGCGGCCACCAATATTATTTTTGCTCTCTGCGAAAATTCAAAGCTCTGAAGGGGGAGAGTGACGAGTTTAAGAAGCACCGGAAAAGATTATGGAGTGCACAACCAACCTTGGGTATTATATTCTACTTTCCTGGGGGCCTCCTAGCCCATACAAAAATGTCCTATGGTCGGCTATAGAAAATTCTTTGTATGGTCGGCTTTAGCTATTTGGCCCAATTAGCTAAAGAATTTTCTATGGCTGTCTTTAGCATTTTTTATGGTCGCCTTTATGGGGCTCTTTAGCTTTGTCTATGGCCCTATCGCTGTCCAGCCATAGCGCTCTTTAGCTTGTCTAATGGTTGGCTAAAGACTCCTCTATGGCTTACCCTATGGCTCTCTTTAGCCAGCAAACTCTAAAAAAATTTACTTCAAGTTCCCCAAACTTGTGAACGCTACATGGTAGATATACATACATCTCTGAACACACAGAATACACACAACACAAGCAGAACACTACCCCACACAACAGCAACAACGCAGCAACACCGGACTGCCATTTATTCATTTAGTGCGAACGTATGCTATGTTCGCACTAGCTGTATATATAGCAGTCTAATTTTTGAATCCGACTTTCCCGGTGACCCATCATTTGTCTCAAAAACACGGAGAGGCGGAGCAAATATTACTCGTACTTAATACATTATTTGAATTGTCTCTTGGAATAGCCCCCATCTCTTAATTCGACACCCTGAAAAAAGCAAATGTAGATCATTAGGCTAATTAACTAAAATTTATTGATTATCTTTTTAAAAAGTTTGATGAATCACGTTGACAATGCAGTGATGACATGCAGTACACTGGTGCTGAAGATTGCAATCAAGCTATTGCTTGGTTGCAGTGTTCGGCGCCATTGTAATTTATTTTCACTTTTGGGGGGTAATAATTAATTTTAATTGTGGCACAAATATTTTAATGGATTTTTCAAACAAACAATATTACTAATTTTCACGACTCGTTGCAACAGCAGAGAACATATCTTGGGTCATGGTTTGTCGCCTCCATTACAAAAATTTAGTATTGATTTAATTTTCTAACGTGGAGTGTTTTTACTAAAAAGTAAGCTCCGGTAGTGATTTTCTATAGGCGTGGAAAGAAAATGTATTGGTTCTTGGCCTTTAGACTCGGGGCCATAAATTTTTCTATAGACGAGTAAAGACAAATAATTGGTTTCCAGTATTTAAACTCGGGGCCAAAGAATTTTTTATAGGCGGGTAAAAAACATTTCTTGGTTCGCTGTCTTTAGAAATGGGGCCATATAATATTCTATAGGCGTCTAAAGCAATTCTATTGGTTCCCAGTCTTTAGACTCTGGGCCATAAAATTTTCTATAGAGGGTTAAAGACAATTTATTGGTTCCCAGTCTTTAGACTTGTGGCCATAGAATTATCTATAAGCGGGTAAAGAAAATATATTGGTTCCCAGTCTTTAGACACAGGACCATAGATTTTTCTATAGCTGGCTGTAGCTGTCTTTATGGATTTCTATGGCCGACTATAGAGGGCCATAGGGGGTGATAAACAGCCATATAAATTTCCATAGAAAACCATAGACCGTTTTTGTATGGGCTATGGGGGCCAAACATGGGGCTATGTGAACGACCACGCGAGAGAGCACGCAGCTTCCTTGAATCAGTCGCCGTTTGCGCACTTAGCAATCCACTTTAACCGATGAGCGTGCACTCCCCCCTTTCCTCACACTAACACTCTTGGGCGACGTAAGGAAGAAGTAACCAGGGAAATTTATTAAACGCACGTGATGAAACCAATGGGTGGCAATAGGTGTGCCAGCGAGACGTCCTTGTCTTTCATTGATAACTAACTTTCATATTTTAGAAAAAGAGTGGACAGGGTGGAAATAGGGTGTTCGTTCTTTAGTAAATAGTATAAGTCAGTTTATATCTAATTCCATTTCAGTTACGAATGCAGCTTGTGCTGTCGGGAACCTTTTTTTGCCGTGCTTTTGGCGTTTCCAGTACGTAATTAAATAACTAGCCCAACTGAACATTATTTTCCATCTCATGAGTTCGTCCACCCTATTTTCTTTTTCAGATCTGCAAAAACTGTTGACATCATTTTCCATCGTCAACGGAACAAGGACCTTCCTGTCTATCAGCAAAGAGAAGGAGTCCGAATCACATAAGTTCAGATTCTTACACGGAATCCGCCTCTTTAGCGCCATCTGGGTTGTGGTCGGCCACTCTGCCATTGCATATGGAAATAGCTCAGGTCAGTTCGGAAACCTCTGGTAGGAATCGTTTCTCATTGATTTCTATTCTCACTAGTCATAATGGCTAAGTTTACCTTGTTATAAGTGTTGCATCGGTGGAACTAGCATTTTCTAAAAGAAGCATCCGTAAATCGACTTTAAAAAAAAACAAAAAAAACTCGGAAAGCGAATTATTCCGATAAATATTATTGCCATTCATGATCACCAAATTTCAGTGCCGAAATATAAGTTGAAATGGACATTTAAAAAATACAAATATTTCTTAAATAGTTGAATAGAACACAGATGCCACAAAATGAGCTCTCCTGAAAAACGTATAAAACTTTAAAACAATATTTTCACTGCAAGATCAATTTTGTGTAGGAGCAATTCGCAATCAAGCTTCAATTTGGGGACAAAAAGTCCTATTATGGGAACTCAAAATGTGTTTTCCAATGTAAGTATTGGGCTATTTTTTGTGTTTTGTCTCTTTCGAGTATTTTCGTTTGTGGCATCATTGCTTTTGATATCTACTAAGGTTAGTTCGCAAATATGCACTTAGTAGCAGACGCCTGGTTTAATAGCTAAAGAGAGTTCGCAAAGATCCTGTTTGGGAAATTTATTTGGATGTAGGAATTTTATAACGCTATATATTACGTGTATTACAATGAGGCACAAAAGTTTTAAAATGCACTACAGGAGTTATTTTGAAAGTCCCAGAAAACAATACTCTTTGTGACAACGACGTAAGCCGAAATTTATTTGTACTAAAATGGTGACATGATCTGGTAGTCTTTTTAAACGAACATTGTAACATATACAGTGGAAAGGCGAGGACAATTAGAAAAAGGCGACTCTCATGTGTCTCTCTTGCACTTCTGTTTGTCTTTCTGCTGTATTTTACAATAAAAAAGGCAAACTGCGCGTGACAAAAAGGATTTTTTGCTCGCAATATTACAGTTCCTTAATGATGTATTTGATTCTTATGTTACCCTCGCTTTTTTATAAGCATAAAAACCTAGACCATAAACTATCGTCCATTCTTTGCGGCTGCTGTGATAAAAAATCAAGGCCCAGGTGGTATAGTTATATGTGCCAAAGTTTGTTTTTGAGTCAGCCCGAAGAAGCCGCGGTAGTGTCAAACTTGACCTTTCGCCAGAGTATTGGTATCTTGGCCTTTATTCGCCAAACAACTGCAAAAAAGTTCGGCTTCGCTGCAGGTATTTTCATTTTCATTTGGTATCTTCGGACATAGATCCTCATATATGTGCCTAAATTTGGCCTCACTTGTGGTTTGTAGGTTTTCATAGAGCAACTTTGGGCCTAAATTTGCAATCAAAAACCAAACAACTGGATGATATTTTCATACGTGTAGCCTTCACTCTAAGAAAAAAAGGGTGTAGTCGGGTGCATCAGGCGCTCATGCACCCTTTTCCTGAAGGACGCACCCTCCGTTGCCCAGCCAGTGTGCTTGTACACCGACAATGAGCATCCCCCTCTCCCTTAAAACATCTAGGTGTACCAATGCACCGCCACGCTAGCCACGCGCCCCGATCAGCTTGTGCTTGGATTCCCCCATGGGGGTCACTTTTTGGGATGGGCAGTTTCTTAGGAAGTATGGAGCTATCGTGTTCCCTCGGTATTGAAAGTAGAGTGGACGTTATGCTTGTTTTAGGCCAATCGGGTCTCCGGGTAGGATCACGTGACTACAGTCTCCAAGCTAGAGATAAGGCAGAGCACGGCACCAGCCTGAAGCCCAAGGCCACGGATAGAATCCACTGCACTATTGACTTTGGGTCGAACTTTCAAGAGGATATAAGCGACAAATCCTTTCATTGTTGGGTTGCCCCTGAAGATAAGCCTTTGCGAGGGTGGCCCCTTTTGGCCTTGAAGGAGCTGCAATTTTCATACTCATTTCTTTTTCTCTCTCTCCCTAAGCTGAAAGCATAGAAGAAGGCGCGCAGTTGCCGGACCAATGAACCGAAGGCTTTTTTTATCCTTCGATTCCTCTGTCTCAGCGCGGATACGGCAGGAGCGTGATCACGTGGTAAAGGTTTCACGGATGACGTAGTAGCTTTTTTCGACCTCGGAATGTCTGCTTCCCGGCCTAGTTGCTTGTGTGATGTGCTGCGACCAGCGGGGCTGCCGTAGATTTCGCCCGCGACAACGTATTCGAGTGTACCAAGATTTCCAGTGTTTGAAAAGTCCTATACGCGTGTATCGGCAACAGGGGATTTCTTCAAAAAAGCCCAAGTTATGTGATGTGTTGTTCGGTTCGGCAAATTACTGCTTCGGCCACATCGTGTTGAATCTTCACGGACCCCTTTCTTTTCGTTTTTGTGTTTGTGTGGTTCTGCAGTGTCCGTGTCGACATATATATCGGATTACAAATTTCAAGTCCGGTATTTTCATCGTAAGTGCACTGCAACCTACTCCTTTGCAACAACTGACCGTTCCGTTCCGGATTACCTCTAGAATTAGGCAGTGTCTATTTTCTAGCAGCCGGGAGAATAATTTCCCCGAAATTCTATCGGCAGTCGCCTGCCATTATAGCTGTATACAATCATGTGACAACTGCAGGTGGAATATTGACTTTCTTGTCCTCCTGGCGTTTTGTGAAAACACGTTTTTGTCGATGCACGTTTTGTAGACACGTTTCATCGACACTAAAGGCCCGTTCACACAGTTGCGTTCGGAGCGACCACTACGCTTACGAACGAATGCAACCGGTTGGAGCGACAAGTTACCATAGCAACGAAGCGCCAAACGGTCGTTTCGTTCGTGTTCGTTCGCAACGCAAGGAGTTGAGCCGGGCTGAACTTTTTCGTTACGTTCGGGAACGACGGGAGCGACAGACCAATCACAGGTCAAGGAGCTCGGTCGCGCGCGTTGCATGCCGGTCGTTCCAGGCTCCTTCTATTTGCAAACATGGCGTCGGTGGTGATCGTCGGCAGGACGGTGTGGTGAAGGCTCATCGTTCCCCGTAAAAGGGCTATCCTTTACTGTGAATTTTCGTCGTGTGTCGTTAGGATAACCCAGCACGTACTAGAAGGGAAGATCCATCTACTTGTGCGGCGATCTCGTGGCGGCACTCTCAAGACAGCAGAAACGCCCGTGCCGTCGTGTTTGTTTACTTCGACTACAGTGGTGCTTTCTTAGCATTTGTGTCCTCAACCATCACACGGATTTCTTTTTTGGCGCATTCCTTGCGTGTGCTCAAGTTCAAGGTATTACTGGTGCGTACCGTACAAAGGATGCGAATTTTTTACTCGTTTTCATCGCCCGAAAAAGGTGATTAGTGTTAGCAATCCTGAACGCTCGCATCGTCTGTCAAATTATATTTGTACGTTGCTATATCGTTGCTAAGATTACATCGTCTTTTATAATCGTAAAAAAGGCGTGTGGCGAGATTTGTACTGTTGGCAAAATCGTGTATTAAAGTCGTGATCGTCCAAGACGGCGTACTGCATCTTTTTCTTCTTTTAATGCACTACCCTGCAAGCGTATCCTGAAATAAAGAGTAATAAAGCTTGAGGTCATAGAAGACGGTCTGTCTATTTTCTGTTACGCAAGTGAGTGGCAGCGCGTCCCCTTCTTTTTGGAGGCACCGCTGAAACAGCTGACGGCAACGGAGAGGCGGTCGCCGTGCTGCCGACCCGCTGCGCTTGTTGCAGTGGTAGCAGGAGTGTACGCGCGGCGCAGAGCGATCGTTCCGGTCGCTCTGGTCACAACGGACGCAGTCGCGGATAACGGGTTCGTTTTAGATGTCTGAACCAGCCTTTACACAGCTATTGTAATCCACAGCAGATCTTCGTGACTGTACGCCGTAGCCGAACCCTCGGGCTGCTCCGGTGAGGACCCCGCGACCCCGCTACCCCGCGTCGGGCACGAAACCGTCCGCCATGTTTGTAAGCGTAGCTGGGTCGCTTCCTATTGGCTAGGAGCAAAAGCTGAAGCTCGTTTCTCATTGGCTGTTGCTTCGTATGGTTGCATGCGGTTGCATGTGTGTGTACACGTCGCGCACAGTTGTCGTTGAAGTCGCAGCGGTTGCATTCGTTCGTAAGCATAGTGGTCGCTCCGAACGCAAATGTGTGAACGGGCCTTAACGTTTCATCGTCACTCGTTACGCAAAATGCACGCTGTAGGGACATTTTGTCGCGCGTGCGTCCATGAGGCGCGTGCTCACCGACCCAGCCGACCCGTTCCCGCCGCTTCGTGGCGACAGTCTGCGGCCGCTGATTACAAAAATGTTAGCCCACCTGTCCCGATACACTCCACTTCGCGGATACATCCTGGGGCGGCTCATTACAAGGAAAGAAAGGAGAGAAGCTAAAATAGAAAAGCTAATCTGAGCTGTCGATGAAACGTCGTTCGATGAATTAACGGCGACTGCCGGTGGATATTTGTGGAAATAATTCTACGGGCTGCTGGCAGAATGGACACTACCTAAGACTCACCCCCGGTTCTTGTTTGCTTAGTAATCTTTTCAGTTGTGTAAAAGCTTCTTTGTACGTCTTCAGATATCACGGATTGCTTGCAAGTTTGTACTTGTTTACAGAATAGGCTGTCTAATAAACTTTTATGAGATTTGAAAACAATACCATGTGTCCGTTTACCTACCTTTCTGCAATCACCGGGGCGCATACATTTTTTACTGTTTTCCTTGATGTCTTAAATAGGTTTATGAAGTTATGAAACGGGTGCATAAAGTGGTGTAACCATGCACCTTTGAATCGGGTGCATCTGTGTTCTCTTCGAATACAGCGAGTGTAGAAAGAGGTGTAACAGTATACTATTGAACGGGGTGCTCCTGTGTTCCCTTTGAGAGCAGTAGGTGTAGAAAGGGGAGTAATGGTACACTATTGAGCGGGGTGCGTCTGTGTTCCCTTTGAGTGAAGCGGGTGTATGAAGAGGTGCAATGGTGCACCATCGAATGGGGTGCATCTGTGTTCCCTTTGAGTGAAGCGGGTGTAGAAAGAGGTGTAGCCGTACACCATCGAATGGGGTGCACCTGTGTTCCCTTCGAGTGAGATTTCTGTAGAAAGAGGCGTACATGTGCACCACACCAACGGGTGTACGCGTACTCCCATATTTGAGGTGCACTTGTATTCCCCCAAAGGGTGTAGTATATGTGACAAGCACTTACACCCCCTATGGGTGTACCCCATGACACCCTTTTTTTTTAGAGTGTTGGATGATGTCAGGCATTTCTACATTTATGTGGCGAGCCGGAAAAATGCCATAGAAACGCCAAAGAAAAGCACACTGGCGCTAACTAACGCGTTGAAACAAAGCCATATTACACTCGAGTTAGGCTCCTAGGATTATCGACTTTGTGCCAAGTTGAGCGTTTCCCTGGTGTGATAATGGAGACTTAAACATTAAACAATTTAAATTCGATACGCCTTGGCTGCTGTAATTCGAGGTGAAATATCATTGTCAAAATTGCTTTACAGTTTCGTTTTCAGTGTCTGTGTTCTGTAGACCGCAATGATTCACTTGTTTGACTATTCCTCGGGAGCGTGGACTTTTACTTAACATCAAAAAGAAATACGTCTCGACAATTGACGTCAGTTTGTCCTCTGAGCATTTGCATTGAATTCACGACATGTTTTTTTTTTCTCTTTTTGTTTGGCCTATCTAGCAAGAAGAATTGATATCTTATTATTCTTCGATGATATATTTGGGTGCGTGGTGACATCGGCCTTCCTAAGCGTTGATACATTCTTTTTTCTAAGGTGAGTGTTTCCAATTGAAAGCACTTCATTGATTGAAGGTTGACCAAAAAGCTGAGGGATGAAAACTTAAAAACAAAGTCGAAACAGGCGCATCGTCTGCATTTATTCTCAACTTTACTCTGGTTCAGATCCATTGCACACTTACTCTAACTTTAACATTAAACAATCAGTGAAAATGAATGCTACGACTTCTAAACACGAGGAACATTAAGGTATCAAAAACGTAGAACAAACATATCTTCCTCATGCTTTTTGATTACGATGAAGATTGCGTGCTACATCTTGTAAAATTACCATCTGTGCAGATCTCAATCGACTTAGTGTAAATGTCAATGTAATCAAAGTGGGGTGGGGAGTTTTCATTTGGGTTGTACACAGCAATAATTTTTTGATGTATTGAATTGACTTGTAAGCCATTTATTTTCCTCATAGGAAAGATCTAGAAGCTAGGGTTATGAAATATTTATTTGGAGTTATATTTTTACTTATTGTCCTTTTCTCGTGAGTTTTGTTTCGGACAATGCTTTATTGCTCCTAGGAAATTCGTTGGATAAAAAAAATATTGTTATATGAGTACGCTGCAGTATTCCGCAATCATGAAAAAATGTCAAATTTTATAATGATGTGAGGTAAGTCTGTTTGGTGTAACCATTTCTAAAACCCAAGACGGAGGCTATACAAAGGGGACAAATACAAGACGTCTCAAACACAGCTCACAAATTTTATTCAGGACACTCATTTTATACCCGTCATCGCCAAAACGCCCTCCAATTGCACACGGCTGAAAGGGTTCACTACACTTAACACAACTCAACAAAAGAGTGTCAAAGGGCTCACAGGAAACAAAAACGACCACGTCCTCAGTACATCTTTGCCTGGCATTCCGGTAGTTCAAAACTACACAATGGCCGACGTCACTTCCATTCCCCAACAAACTCTCCTACAAGCTTTCAAGACAAAAAGCTTCGCTATAGTCCACACATGACTACAAAAAATAGTCATAAAGTTCTCAGGAAACAAAAATATCACGCCTTCAGTACATATACGCCCACCTTTCCGCTAGTTTAAAACTACACGATGGCCAAGGTCACTTCCAAGCAACGAAGAAACCTCTTACACGCTTTCAAGCAAAGAATTGCGGATTTCAACAGCGAAAACTCCTTTGTTACACATTCGATGGTAATTGAAGACTGGCTTATACTGTTTTCTATAAACGCGATCCTAATTGTGTCCTTGATGACGCTTTTTCTACAATTAGTTTTTATTATAATAACACGGCTGTACCGTCCAATTCAGCCACACAATTTCCACACTCTTTAAGATATTAAAATAGTTCGGAGTTTGACGAATTATTTTTTACTTCTCTTTTGTGCTCACTCAACCAATCATTCACACACATTTAGGTATGCCAAATATACGAAAAACCACATGTCATCGGAATTTCATGAACAACGCCTTCTTGGCAGTCGACTGTAGCATAACTGTGCTTTTTCTGACATCCAACTTGTCCTCCCGAAAAGGGCGCCAGCCGTTCCAAACTAATGTCAATCCTAAAAAAGCACTTTTACAGCCAACCTCCCCACGATAGATATCAAGTTGTTGGACACACCATGAATAGACGGAGCACACACTGCCTTGTCACTCTGTGTGTTTTGCCCCTTTGCCATCCCACTGATCTTCAACACCAGTCTCCTCGGTACCTGCTCGCTACTCGTTGAGCAGTGCATTATTATTTGTTTTTATTGAAAGCGTGTGAGAACTTTTTGTCGGTGGTTGGAACTTGGAAGTGACCTTGGCCATTGTGCAGCTTTGAATCAGCGCAATGGTTGGCGTATATGTACTGAGAGCGTGGTCTTTTCGTTTCCTCTAAACCTCATGATACGCTTTCGTAGACGTATGTGAATTGTAGAAAACATTGTGGCCTTGTGCAATTAGAGGCCGATGTGGAAATGACGGGTATAAAAGAAGTGTCCTGAATAAACTTTATAAATTTTAATAGCTGTGTTTGAGACGTATTGTGCTTGTCCCTTCTTTGAAGGCTCCGTGCTGGGTTTTAGAAATGTCTAACTTCAACCAGCTCGCCTGCCTTATTACATTATCTTGAATCAATTGTTTGGTGAAGTTTCTTGCATAGTTGATTTTTTTTTCCTGATCAGGTAATGCCCTTTTTTTTAGTTTCTCTCCTCACGCACAAGCACGAAAATAGTTTGTGAGACAGCACTATAATATGAAACAAAAACCTACAATAAGCGTATTAATATTATTTAAAGTGAGTTGTGTAAAATACTGACATAAAAACGAACTAATATTGTCTTGCCTGAAGAAATGAATTTCAATGAGCAGGTTAGAATAACGAACAGGCTACGTTTAGGAAGTAATAAACGTACAACTCTGAACATTTGGTAAGCTCGCTAGCAGAACGTTTCTGCCGATAAAAAAAAAAGAATAGCCCACTCTCCTTAAAATATCATCCTTCTATTCCTAGATAGCTTCAAAATGTGTTGGGCATAATAGAACTGTCGCAATGAACATATTTCTTTCTCATAAGCGTTCGTCGTTCGTTCCATAGTCTAGTGTGAAAACGGACGGTTCAAGAAACGCAAAGTGCGTCGTGTTATATTTACGTTTCTCCGTGATTTGTTCTCTGGCCTTCCTGTGGGCTAACACCAAATTCTCATTGGCTGTGTTGCGATTGTAAGATCATCGACACTGACAAGGCATATCTTGCGTTTCTTCAGATGAACGGACTATAATGCAAAAGAAGTAAACGCACGCGCTCTCTCAACTTCTGGCATTCATTTTTAATAGCAAACACCGGCCTTTACAGAAACAAAAAAAGAAAAGCCGCGAGGAAACGCGTATCTATCACCTGTAGTGCTCCGAGCTGAAACGCTCCAACCGCCGTGTAATTTAGGCTACAAGGGAAGGGAAGCACCTATAAGAACTGGGTTATGATGGACTTATTACATCGCTTTGTCTCCTGAATTTCATCCTGGCTCTCAAAATTGGCTGAACTTAAAGTAAACCGCCGTTATATCTTAAAAAAGGAAAGGACAGCTACCGCCGCAGGGCATTTGGCAAAATTTCAGCCTCCAGTTATCTATTGGAGCAGTTCTGACATCATTGTCATCAGCATCTCCGAGGCAGCTGAAAGGCGATCAATAATCATCTGATACCGCCAATAACGTAATTTCCGCTAGCTTTCCTTCTTCCTCAGTTCGTTCTTTACTCGGCGGCGAGCAGGGGAGGTAGCTACAACGAAGTTTCCATCCGCGATAAAGTTGCCCCCTCACCACGTCGCAAAAATAGCCTTTACGCGCATTATTTTAAATTGCCTTCAGAGCTTGAATTCAACAATTGTTTCAGCTTTCCTTTCAGTAGCAAAATGTCAATTAACAAGTGTATTCCCAGCACTGTTTTATAAAATAATAATGCACCATTCACTCAAAAAGTCTTGTGACTCACCAGCCCCTCATAGAGAGCAATAAAGGAACAATTGGGTGTTTGTTTTAAGGAAGTGTTCACGGGGTAGTTCAAAATGCGGTTTTACTTTATACAAAGTGAGTGAAGGTATGTAATTTTCAATCTGTTTTTCATTGCTTACTATTTCTGCTTACAATTGCATTTTTATTATTTCAGCGGATTTCTACTTGCATATAATATACAACAACAGAAACGAAACCGGTTTATTGTCGCTGTGACGGGTATTATACTGCGTCATATCAGGTAATTCCTTCTCTTCACTAAGCTCTTTAAAATGTGACTCTGCTGCAATTTTGCTTTTAATTTGATGAGTGCCGAGCAGTGTAATTCCTGGCTTTAACAACATAAAAATTCCGTATGTCGTAATTTCTCTTTTACTCTTAAGATTGAATTACTAATCACAATTCGATCGAACCGAATATGCGCACACCCTTCAGCTAAATTTCATTCCACAAAGTGAGTAGTTGTCAACCGTGTTTCATCATATGTCAGAGTTCATTCGAAGGCACGAACCGATACACCCAAAACAACATACTGAAAGTGCAAGCCACCGCGCATAATTGGATTAGCGATGATTGGCCCCATCAGTTTGTACCGCCTGCTGCGTCCAAATTTGAGGTTACAGAAAGTATAGTTCAAATTAAATAGCGCAATGCTAAGGCAAAGGACAAGGGACAGAACATGTACAGGAAAAGTGCCAACTCACAACTAGCGTTTTATTAGAAAAGAAGAGAAGGAAGCAACATATAAATACACCGAAAAAAGGAAGAAAGAAGATTTATAATAAAAGCAGAAATTTGAAAGTTATAAACAAAAAGGAAAGAAGAGAAAAGAAAGGAAACAGCGTAACTAAATTAATTCGGGGGAATATATTAAAATTAAAAAAAAAATATTATAGCTTAAAGAAAGAAGAAGGTGAAAATACTAGAAATTCTCGCTGAATCAACCTCACGTTGGCCACCGAAGGTAGAATAATTCTTTGTCAGTTAATTCCACCGATGGTGCACTCACACAAGCGTCTTCCTCTTCCTTGATGGTTAAGGCCTCGTGTATTTCTCGTGAAGTTTTATCTCAGAACCGTTGTAGGAGTTTGGTTTTTGTCAGGATCGGTTGGCATTTATTGAGACCGTTGTTGATGATTGCAGTTTTTATGAGTTTGGAATGCGAAGACTCATATTGAAGTAATCTTTTCTTCGACCTTGGCTTATATATCCAGCCCATGTGGTTATCTTGGAATTTTAGTCGTAGATCGAGAAATTGTAGGGTGAAGTCTGTAGGTAGCTCGTATGTAAACTTTAGCCCTCGAGCGTTTTTTTTTAAAGATTGTCCGGACCTGGTTGATGTGCGTCTCGTCTCTTTCACCTGGTTTATTGCTTAGAAGCACGAGGTAGTCATCAACGTACCTGTATATTTTTAGAACCTGGTCGTTGGTTATTTGCTTAGCGTCGGTCAGACAGGCCGCTGCGTCGACACCAGGTTGCGGGAAGACGCCGCCTAACTCCAATCAACTCCAGCGGGGCATCTCGCAGTACATGTTAGAGAATGTAAATGCCAACCGATCCTGACAAAAACCAAATTCCTACAAATGTTCCGAGAAAAAACTTCACGAGAATTATTTCAGGCCTTTACCATCAAGGAAGAGAAAGACGCAGAAGTGGTCTACAAGATCCCCTTTGACTGCGGATTGTGTTATGTTGGTCAGACGGGGCGTTGTTTGAAGGACCGACTTGCGGAGCATAAAAGGTGTGTAAAGAATTTGGCGCAGAATTCTGAATTGGTTAATCATGTTAGTTCTTGTAATTTTTGTTCCCCTCTTTGGGATGAAACTTCTCTTCTGTGTAACGAAAAAGAATTGTTTAGAAGGCTAATTAAGGAGACTGTGCATTCGCGAGCGGGGAAATTGTGTGAGCCAGCCGTCCTTAGTGATCACTGATCGGATGAAAGAGTTTTTGCTTGTATGAGGGGAGCTTTGTAAACCTTGAGAAGGGGGTGGGGGGGGGAATCGTTTGCTTGGAGTAGAAAATGGGGATTAGGCTTTAGCGGTTTCGAGGTCACCATGTGTGGTGACCGTGGGGTTTTTGTTGTTCGAGTGGTCGGCTCCCTTTCCGAAAGTTGTTGGAGCCGGGGAGTGGCTCAGGCTGTCTGGGGTGAACGCTTTGGCCGCCTTGTTTTTCGTTTTTGAGTTATTTTTGCCCTTTCTCTTTTCCTTTTGCGTGAGAGTCTATTTATTGGTATGCTCATAGCAATAAAATTCAGCTGCGTTTGAGATTTTGTTGTGGTCGTCCGTTTTTTTATCGTTCCCCATCTCAGGGTTTACAAAATGTCGATTAATTACCAGCTCACCTGCAATCTCTCACTGCTTACAACGCAGTTAATTCCACCATCGGTGGAATTAACTGACAAAGAATTATTTTACCTTCGGTGTCCAACGTGAGGTTGATTCAGCCAAAATTTTTAGTTTTTCAACTTCTTTCCTCAAGCTATAGTCTCTTTTCTTAATTTCAATATATTACTTCAAATGAATTTAGTCACGCTGTTCCCTTTCTTTGCTTTTCTTTCCTTTTTGTTTATACCGGGTGATTCAAGGAGACGACAGGCTCTTTAAATCGACCGAAAAATTCGGTTTCTTAACCTATCGCGCTACGACTTTGTGCAGCGTTGCCCACAGATGGTGCATTTTTTTTCGTAAAATTGGCAAACAGCGAACTTACCTGAGGAAAAAGTAAAGAAAGGAAAAGGCTTAGGTTCTATGGAAACGCAGCGACGACACCGGTCTCCAAACAGCACGGCGCCGTTTCACACGGGAGATAAGAGATGGCGCAACGAACGCCGCCAACAAACGAGCATACGTCGCCGAGAGCCGGCATTTTTAGCAGACGATCTTTTCGACTCAAAAGCGGCGCGCGTTCCGTAAACTGCGACAGTCGAAGAAACCAAAACAGGCGCGGTAACAACAAGGAACTGCAGTTCCTTGTCTGCTAAATAAGCCGGCTCTCGGCGTCGTCTGCTGGTTCGTCGGCGGCAGTTGGCGTCGCGACCGCTTGCGCCGTCTCTTGTCTCCCGTGCGAAACGGCGCCGTGTTGTTTGAAGACCGGTGGCTTCGCTGCGTTTCCATAGTAGCTAAGCCTTTTTCCTTCTTTAATTTTTCCTCAGGTGAGTTTGTTTTTTGCAAATTTTACAAAAAAATGCACCATCTATGGGCAACGCTGCACAAAGTCGTAGCGGGATAGGTTAAGAAACTGAATTTTACGGTCGATTTAAAGAGCCTCCCGTCTCCTTGAATCACCCGGTACCTTTCAGTTTTCTCCTTTTATTATAAATTTTCTTTCTTCCTTTTTTCGGTGTATTTATGTACTGCTTCCTTCTCTTCTTCTATATTAAAACGCCAGTTTGGAGTTAGCGCTTATCCTGTCTACGTGTTCGGTCCCTTGTCCTTTGTCTAACCTTTGCGCTCTTTAATTTTTATATCATGCATATCCCACTAGCACACCTCAATATTTAAGTATGTTTTGAAGTTTAGGAGATAGTATTTTTGGTCATAAAAAAATGCAAATATGGACAGTGCGTGACGCAGGTAGCGCATACACCAGATGCCTATTTGCTTATTACTTTAAAAAATGGATCTAGAATTTCAGCGCGTTAGAATACTGCACCGAATCAACACTTTTGGGTACACTACCAGTTTTGGTGATACTTTAGTAAACAAAAAAAGACAAACGAATACATTTGCCTGTTTGGTTTAACCGTCTAACGCTCTGTGCTTACCAGTACTTACATGTTATATCATGCAATACCACAGTAAACAATAGACTCAACACGTATGCTTTATTTTTATTTCAGAACAACCATCCCGATGCTTTTTGTCATATCTTGGTTCTACTTGGTACCCGTTATTGCGTCTGGACCAGGCGTGATTGAAATGATGAATAGGTTTTACGGTGAGATGGACAGTCACTGGTACGAACTGATTTTTCAAGTGCGAAACTTCGGAAAGGGGTTAGATAACGTGAGTAAATTGGCAACTTTATATTTTGCTGCAGTGAAAGTAGCGTATGTGTCAGAACTTTGAAAGGATTGTATTCATGTGAACGCAAAATATGTTGTTAGATTTTTCTTTTCATTTATCACGTCGAGCGGCACGGTGCTGACACTTTCCCTGAGGTTAGCCTCAATATACAGGGTGGCACAAATAAAAATTTACAGTTTTTTTTTTACCGCAAAAATAAATTAGGTTTCACCGGACGCTCATTCTTCGCCCAAAGGTAGCGCTAGAGGTCACAACCAGATGCCAAAGTTTTACCCCGATACGATACCTTAATGAAAGGTTATAAGTAATTTTCTGAAAATTTCAATGGGAAAATGGCGCCCGGCGGCGCTTTTGAATAGATGGGGCTCTATGGCAAAGAAACCGAAAACGGGCAAAAATGGGTTCTATTTTCTCATTGAAAGTTTCAGAAAATCACTTAACACTTTTGATTAAGGTGTCATATCCGGCTCAATCTTTGGCATCTGGTTGGGACCTCTAGCGCTACCTTTGGATGTAGAAGGCGCGTTCGGCAATGCCTAGCTTATTTTTGCGGTGAAAAAATCATGCAAATTATGATTTGTGACACACTGTATATTAGCATCTTGACTTATACCGTTCGTTGAAAGAATAACTATTGGGTATTTTGATATGTTTTTAATACAGGTTTATCTTTATTGCCTGCTGTCCCTTTCACCCACGCACGACGTCGGAAGGGGCCTCATATTTTCAGATTCAGTGCGCGTTCTATCATTAAAGTATAGTTTCCATATCCTCACCAGCATTCTTAACTTCTTTTCACGAGATTACTTATCTCCCGCATATATAAGGCGCTCACGCCATCCTTAAAAGTAATTGGACAAATTGAGAGAATTCCCACATATTTTACATGGGATGTCGTACCGAGCGGTATAATAGCACAAATCACAAATCGGCAATTTGGAGATGGTAGCTTCAATTTAATGCAAAATGCAAGTTTCTTTGCTTCTTCTGCAGGGGTTTCAGTGACATCATAACGCTGAGCTCTGATTCACTCTAATTAGAATTTTAGTGGGTGAACTTAAAAGCAAGCTTCCTTGAGGTCTACCCACTATTCTTCAATCTAAACCAATCGAAGCTTGGCGTTCTTACGGCACCACAACCCCTGCAAAAAAGCAGGCGAACTTGCGCTCCGCACAGTCTTTTCTCCCATTTGCGAGAGTTCAAAAACCATTTTTTCTAAGACGCGCCTTGAAGCCGCTTGAAGTTAAAACTTCATGCAAGGTGAAATTAAAAATCGCAGCCGAGTTACATTAAAAGTGAATCACCAGCATCATTATGATCGACTAAAGGCCCGTTCACACTCTTGCGACCGACTTCGACCGAGAGAGACCAGACCGGTTTTTAAGCCTTTTGCGACTTCTTAGGACCGGATGCGATGCAGCGGAGCTGGTCCTAAGAAGTCGCAAGAGGCTTAAAAACCGGTCTGGTCTCTCCCGGTCGTAGTCGGTCGCAAGAGTGTGAACGGGCCTTAAGATTCTTGAAAAATCTAAACAAAATTGCGGTGGCTTAGCTCGGCTATGCCAGGATATACGTAGCGTGAGCTTATGCGTACAAAATGAGAGTCGCTATCAAGCGGCTCCGGTGCAGCGTCAGACTTGGCGCAACGGAGGCGCACAGCTGGGCACGCGGCGCCAGTGCTTCTGCCGCGGCTATGACGTCACTCCTATGGAATGTGCAGACCGGCGAGGCCCGCGCGGTGGCGGCGGAACGCGCGGCGTCGGCGGCTCCGGCGCGCCAGCTGTGCGCCGTGTGACGTCACTGCTCCTCCCGCATGCGCAGACCGGCGAGGCGCGCGCGGCGGTGGCGTCTCCAGCGCGCCAGCTGAGCGCCGCGTGACGTCACTGCTCCTCGCGCTTGCGCAGCACGGAGCACGGCTCATTATGCGAGCCACGCGAAACTGCTGAACCTCAGCCAGTGTAGCTCACGCTTCAAATACAAATTTCTGCAGCCGCACAAACGCGGCTTGGACGCCACGAACGCTTCGCGACGACATTACTTTTTAGACAACAGTTTTTTTTAATGACGACGTAGAACATATTAAATGCCACTCTTCTCTTGACCTCCATTCGACGTCTAGAAGCTAGAGGTAATGAGTCCATCCTTAGATAGCATACAGCTTGCCCAAAGCAAGAAGGAGAAAGGAGTGCATGACGGTACCTGTGTATTTGGGAATGAGATTTTGAGTACATATAGGAACAAGGGAAAGTTGTCGTTCACCATTTAAAGTTAAAACACCATGTAAAGAAATGTATGCCTCAAAAGGAACTTTTGCAAGGTTTATTTGGAGCAACTCCAAAACACGCTTGAATTAGGCTGCCGTAGTCTCGAAATGGGGAGTATTTCGGAATGAATCCCCATGTGGTTATTTCGCACTGAAAATTGTTTTCACGGAAAGTTTTTTCACTGGAATGTGTCTCCTACACGAGCATTTTAAAAGTTTTTTTTTCGGAATTTAGTGTCTTTAGTAGCCATTCCGAAACATGCATCTATGTCGGAATTAACGCCCGAAATAAGAGCATCTTTCGCACTCGCTTCGAAATCGAAATGCGTCGAAAATATAAATACTCCTTTTCATTTTTTTTATTTGGTTTTATTCTTGGTATCGTTCATTTTTCGCATAGGATTCCTATCCAGGTACTCACAAATCTGTTTTCTGGGAGTTCAATGTCACTTGGAACAGTCCAATTTAAAAGAAAAAAAAAAGGATTTTATATAATTTTTTGTGGGTTCACGGGGCCCTTTCAATATTTCGATACTTTTATTACGCAAGCAACATTTTGAGGCATATCTTTCTACAGTAAGCTTTAGTAGAATAAACTTATTTAAAAAAAATCAAAGCTATAACCAAAATTATTAAAGCAGAAAGTTAATTAAAAAAATGGTATTCTAGCTACAGATCCCCTTGCGGTAATGCGCGCGGTTTAAGTATTTGCAATAAGCACCACTCCTGCAGTGAAAGGCTGCCGATTTTTCATTTGGATTCAAAAACTACGTATTGGCACTTTTGAAACAAAACAAAAAACAAAAAAAGAGTAGAGTATTTGCCAATATGGATAATGGGAAAATATATAACTGAAATTTCTTGGTTAATGAATCTCTGAATTACTTAAACAGTAATAACTGCTAATTATGGATTTTTGTAAAGATAAGCTTATTCCCATTCACTGAGTTTGAAATTTGAAAATTAATAAAAGTGTCTACAATTTTGCTTAAATTCTCACATCAAACGTTGTTGATTTTTTTTCTGCGTGGAGCGCTGGTTTATGAGGCGTCATAAGAACATCGATGTGCCATGCTGCAATGAGAACTATTTTAATATTAAATGCTCTAAAGCATAGTGTATATGAAAAAAACAGCTTTGGTTCGAATTGAGTTGTTCAAAAACAGCTTTGGTTCGACCTGATTGATTTGTTCATAGGAAATAAATCAAATATAAAGAAACAACTTTTTTTTTTAATTACAATTTTGCTTTGCTTATAAATCAATAGTACACAATTACATATTTATTTTGAAAATGAATTATGGTTAAACATAATATACCAGTTACACACTTTTTAATTTACATGCTTGATTAACCACACAACGACGATTATAACATTCTGAAACGTTTAAAAATGCGTGAGGATGTAAGCGCTGCAGAAAATCTTAATACATGTTTCAAGTATGAAGCATGGCGGTCACTCTATTATTATTTTGCTCTAAATAAAATTAGGTTGTGGTAAGGATACATAATTCTAACTATGTGTTTATCGTACTGTACTTTGCCGAAGAACATAATTATACCTGTCCTTTGATTCTTTTGGAGTCTAGTTTTACAACTATTTTGTTCCAACTTTCTTTTAGACCGGAGTTTTCCAGCATCTATGGTATATCTCGACAGACTTCCAGCTATTTCTTGTGGCACTTCTGATCTTCACTTTCTTCAAAGGGTAAGGACATGCAGGGGCTGGTACAATTACTTCTAATGAGACCAAATAATTCAATATCTTTCCCGTGAGAATGCGTCATTTCGACATTTCACTGACTGATCTTAAAGCTTATATGTGGGTCAATATTCTGGAGTCTATTTCCCGTTATAGTTTCCAAGTTGACGTTTGGATCGTTATAGTTACTTTTATAATCCATATTGAGCAACCCCACCTGATATATAAATATATATATAAACGAGCGTATGCAGATGAATGAACCGTACTTAATCCAATAAATCAAAGAATCAAAGTTTTTACGAGCCCGCCGAAATCCAAAGTAACGGTGGAGCCAGGATATCATCTCTGGGCCTTTCAATGTCCGGTCGTGTGTGCTCACCACTACACCACTCCACCTTGGCTTTCTAGCGTTTCCTACCTGTCTTATTAATGCACAGGAAACAAATGTATCCAATCGGAGGTGTTCTGGAAACACACCCCGTCGCGTGGAACGCGGTACGACGCTTGCTGTCACGTGGTGCGTGCTCATTTGTGCTCCAGAAATCCTCTCACTCTTTGTCTCGTCACGTGTACATGTAGTCTTCTTTGTTTATCAGCTGTCAGACAAAAGGCATCATTATCATCTTTGAGTATCATGAGCCACGTTATTGAATATACAACACGGGCACTTCCCACCATCGTACGTGGTCTCCGAAGAGGAAATAAACGAACATATGCAGCGGAATGAACCGTACTTAATCCAATGAATTGAAGAATCAAAGTTTTTATGAACCCGCCGAAAGCCAAAATAACGGCGGAGCCAGGAGACCACGTACGATGGTGTGAAGTGCCCGTGTTGTATATTCAATAACGTGGCTCATGAGTCTCGCAGATTATGATGATGCCGTGTCTTTAAAAGTTCATAAACAAAGAATACTACATATTCACGGCACGAGACAGAACAGTGGGAGGATTTCTGGAGCACAAACGAGCACGTGCCACGTGACACCAAGCGTCGTACCGCGTGCCACGCGGCGGCGTGTGTTTCCAGAACACCTCCGATTGGGTAAATTTCGTTTCTTGTGCATTAATAATACAGATAGGAAACGCCAGAAAGACAAGGTGGAGTGGTGTAGAGGTTAGCATACCCGACCAGGCATTGCCGAAAGCCAATATATATATATATATATATATATATATATGTATATATATTTGTTTAGTTTTCAAACGCGGATTTTTTAATGGCTCACAACTTATCTAGTGCGCGGAACACTCGTTCACGACAAGAAGGTGTAGCAAAAAACTAAGAAGACATACACCTAATTTAAACGTTTCTTTCAAATAGTGGCTCAGGCAAAATAGATGTGGTAACTGTTTAATAAATTATAATTTAAAACTGTTTTAGCAAGAGGTATTCAATGCAAAGAACGAAGCTCTACTCTTAATGTTTCTAATTCAGTTATAACTTCCAAGTTATACATGTGTTTACCATGATGAGCGTGCAAGGGCACAGTATAAAATACGTAGTGTTCTAGGACTGCCTCTTATCGATTTGAACAAAGACAAGTTTTCCGCAGGTCGCCTGTATTCCGTTCGCATCTTTTTATGTCTCAATAATATTCAAAGGGGTTTGAAAATAGTTTTGCTTTGTATAAAAACTCTAATGCACACCGTCAAGCCTTCCAAGGGCTTTCTCAGACACGCAAGTACAAATATAATAACTATGTCAGTTGATGAAGTGTATGAAAAACGTGATATTCTGTTAACTGCAAGGTGAACAACAGCGCTCACGACACCAGGGATAAAGAAAGATCTCGCACGACATGCAAGCGGCCGCTCACAACGGATTAATATTGAAACTAAAACAGAACTGAAACTCTTGCAAAAAACAACTATCTATGGGAGAGGGAAACACAGAAAACGCCTTGCGACGGATTACACAAGACAGAATACATAAAACTCTCTCAGTACTCGCAAAAAAAAAAAAAATCCTAGTCTGACAACATCAGCGAGGGGTTGGTTAACACAGTGCTCTCAAACTTGTCAATGATGTAGTACCCAAAAAGAGGTCTGTAGTTACTTAGAGTTCAATAAAGGCCGGGTGTGGATTCGAGCTTCACGTTTCCCGCTTCATGATTCCTTCGTCAGCCTCCTCGTCTTGAAATTTGGCAATCTCATTTGCTGTGCGTCAATAATAAAGTGTTTGGTACTCGTTAAGTCCTGCACTGTTAAATATGTATGTAATTACTGTCAATCGTGTCTGGATATTTGCAAATCCTGCAAAACTATCACTCTTAGTTTTTTTTATTTTTATTTCTAACACATTAGCACTAATGTATATATTGAAACAACCAAAAAATCTATAGAAATGTACTCCTTAAAACGCTGGTTGTGGCTGACGGAAGTTCCCGATAAAGGCGCCACACAAAAACGTTCTGATGAAACATTTGGTACGAAAACATCGTACATTGATTTACTGCAATATAGATATTCTTCTGAGTGCTTTAAAGAGAGCTTCAGCAAAGCAGGCTGGGGCTAGCTTTGAGTATCGTATGATCGCTCCGCACACAATACCATTTTGGCATTAAGTAAGACAAAATGACAAATCGCAAAACAGTGGGTACATAAACCCCACGCACTACGTTCGTGAAGTCGTCAATGACTACGCATCTTGTTCCCCTAAGGCAGTGGTTCTCGGCCATTAATTTTCGAGGACTCATTGTAGATCGGTGAAGATAATGGAGGACCCGGTTTGTGGCGAGAAAAGGAGAAAGGTATAAGTTAAATATAATAATCATATGATAAATGGATATAACTAAGTGCTACTGTGACGTTGACATCTCTTACTGACATACACACAAGAAAACTCACCCGAAAACTGAAACATATTGTTTGATCTGAGTAGAAACACCTTTTATTGCGAGCTTGACCGATGAGTCAGGGCTTCACAACCCCAAAAGGTTCGCGGAGCCCAAAGGGTCCGGAGACCCCCATTGGAGAACCTAAGTCCTAAGATAATTGAATTCTTTCGTTCCATCAAAGTTCTTATTCAATAAACGACATACACTGATCACTTTTAAGCAAATATAGATTGCAAATAATTCCCTCGTATTGATTTCACGGTGATATATAGTGATTGTTCATTTTGAATCAAGGAGCGTGTCTATTTTGTTTCGCAGTAACTAGCTATTGTAAAAGCGAAATCTTGTACAAAAATGTTTTAATTATTGTATGCAGCTTTCATTTTAAATGCTGCAGTAGTTCATTACTTTTTAAATTGCAGATTAAATAAATCCACATCCTAGTTATCTCTTTATCGAAAAAAAACTTCTTAGAAACTACACTTTTATGGTCGTTTGTTTTAATTAACGACGCAGAAAACCTTGGACCATGATCTGCGTGTTTGGAGTCTTGTCTCTACTGGGATGCTCGGTGTCCTGCTGGCAACTCTATGACAGCAACTACTACCCATTTCCAGTTGTTCTGGGCGAGACGCTTGAGTAAGTTTAAGTACTTGTTGTTCTTGTGTGCTCAGAATTATGAATTCTCTTTAGCATAAATTAAAAAATAGCTTTACTATGCAGGTTGTGATGTATTTTAATATGATTTATATGTAATCAGCCTATGCTAGTAGGGCAAAATATTGCGAAGAGACTTTTTATTTTAATGTTAGGTCGTGATTGAAGGTAAAACAAAAAAAAAAATCAACCATGAACGCCGTTGCCAGCTCTACAGTCTGAGTTTCAATGGTTAAGAAACAAATAAAGCTACCCTGGTGTGCTCCTGCATTAGCACTGCACACGTCAAGTCAATTCAAAACGACTAAATAGCGTGAGGGTACCAACTAAATAATATTAAATTTGTAATGCCAGTCAGACGGGAAAATATAGCTAGTGATACCCCAGCCACAAAAAAAAAGGCCGGTTCAGCCATTTATAATAAACTAAATTAAAAATTTCAGACTCCTCGGCTTGTAAAGCACATGACTCAGTTAATGCAGTTTTATCTTCGGATTTTGTCGAGCAAACTTACTGCGTAGGCTTCAAACATAAGGTATATTGTTTACGTCAAACAGAATGTGAACGGTAGCACTAACAGTCCATGTGCGTTTCATAGCTTGAAGATGAGCCATTGTATAAAGCAAAGTACCCATCGGAATGGTAGAACTACTTCTCAATTCAGCACAATTCAGTTCATTAAGTGTGTTATTGTTAAAATACTCTTTTTGTGTAAACATCAACGATTTTAAATGTCTTTGCAGAGCAGTAATTTCCACAATCAACGAGCTGTACGTCCTTCCAAGCTACCATGCAGCATGCTACTTTTCCGGCTGTGTGGTTCTCCTCCTTCTACAAATGTACGGCACTGCCAAGATTTCTAAGGTTCGTGGATCATTTTTCTAACTAGATGTATATTTAATGTCGGCATTAGTATGCAATTGAAAATCCCTAATGTATTAATTTGAGATAGATTTTCAAATTGTGCTTTATATCTTTCAACAACAGTTCCGAACTATAAAGTTGACATTACAGTCTCGGCTGTGATATAGGACGACCTTTCTTTTCGGACCTGTTTACTAGACAGCTGTTCAGCGAAGTAAAATAATCCAGGCACACTATAATTGAAATGCGCTGGGTGAACAAAAAGTATGAGAATATTGTTTTATTATGTACTGAAATGCTTGGTTTAAAGGACGGACATTGTGTTTATTATTAGTTTAAAGTTTCAATTTCTTTGTTTCTTTTGCCTTTCTGCAAATAAAATCAATTGGGTACTAAAGGTGTGCCAATAATTAAGCTGCGGATCGACGTTTTTTAGAGATGACTCAACCTAAACTGCATCATATGAAGTGCTCACGAACACTACTTTCAACATTGTATATCTCTAGTCAAACAACAAAGCTTCGGTTATCTCATTTATTTTTTATATAAGTTTAACTATCTTACGGTAATTTACAAATAAGAAATTCTTAAAAACCGAGGCAGTACTAGAAAGCGAAATCTCTTACAGGATAAGCATGAAGTATTTTACAGGTGAAGAAACATTGTATATTAAAAGCTGTTCCGAATAGAAGCACGGATGTTAAGGTGTTGCTAGGCCGACTCGTCCGGTATTGAATTGCAACAGGCAGCGCTGAGATAACATGCTTTAAGATGGCGTCAATAATGAAGAAAACGGGGAAGGTGATTGGGTATAATGAATGAAAGTCGCCAGTTACAGTACAACAAACGTTCAGAAAAGAGTATAAACTGCATCACTACTTGTTGCATGAGTCAGTGCGCGAGTTACACTGCGTCGAAAAGCTATCAAAACTTCATCAAGTCTCTTCGTTTACACTAGGACCAACAGCTTTGAGTATTTCAATGACAGTGACAGTCTCTCTAAATGTAATCTGTCAGATTTTGATATTTTTAACATCTGGCAGGACTTTTTCATAGTCTTTTCTGAACTACAGTTCAACTGTGATCGGCTATGTACTTGAGTATTACCACAAAACACACTGCGCGTTGTCTGCATTGACAGAATGTTGAAACAAGTTATCACAACCCCACCTAAGATGAAACAAAATAAAATTGGGGAGTCAAAGGCTGGGGTGCGAAAAAAAATATTTTAAGAAAACCTAGCATGCGAGTAGTGATGTTAATGATGCAGTCAATGTGAGTCTTTGATGATAGGTTAGATATAATATGAACTCCTAGACACTTATAGGCCAAAACGAATTCTAGAGGATAGCTATTTAGCGTATAATGGGGCTGAGATGAAGCCCAACGGCATACGCTCATAATGTTTTATTTACTACAGTCGACTACCGTGGATTATGAGTGACACCAGTTAGAAACATATTTCATATCGTTTTGTAGTACGTTAGAGTGAGTAACTTCTAATTTATCGATAAATAACGCAGTCACCAGCAAATAATAACATTTTTTAGGATACATGTGTGGGTAAATCGTTAATGTAAATGAGGAATATATACTGACTGAGCGCAGAGCCTTCGGGATTTTCTGATGCTACTAACGCTAGTCATAGAATAGCTAGCGTTCGTAAAGTTCACGAACTGTTTGTGGTTTGTTAAAAATGAATGTATCCGCGTGAGTACCGCCGGGTCAATGTTTAGTTTACTAAGCTGGTGCACATGTTCAATAGCTTTCGAAATATCTAAAAATAGCCAATCTACTTCAGAACGAGCGTCAGCGATAGAATGAAGGTAATGCGTGAATGATAAAAGTAGTGTTTCGCATGAGTATGTCTTTCGAAAGCGGTATTAAAAGGAACAAACATATTTTTTTTTTATTCAAGAAAATTTACTACGTTAAATGACATGTTCAATAATTTGGCATGAGACACTGGTCATCGAAATTGTGCAAAAGATACGGGGATTAAAGTTATCACCTCTATTGGGAACTGGGACCACTTCGGCTACTCTCCTGTCTTATGGCAAGATACCATGGTCCATCCACTGAGAAAATATACTCGCGACAAAAATAGAGGTGTACATTTCAGTATTCTTCAGAAACTTGGATTTGATATAGTCAAAATAAACCACAACATGAAGATAGTCAAAGTGAGTCGATTATGTTGACAATAGCTTCAGGACTAATTTCAAAGGAATACATTGGTAGGTAATCATAGGACATGTGTGTTTGATCTTTACTTATGAAGGGGTCAAAAAAACAGCTAACAGAAATATTATTGAGTCCACTGAAACACTCTTCACAAGAAATAGGGCTACCATAGCCAGCTCTGAGCTCTACAACTGCATTACTTTCTTTTTCATGGTGTTCCTAAAGTAAACTGAAATATTATAAGAATGGCGGATTCTTGACGAAGGATAAAAATAATCACAATCAGCAGCGTTATTCAACTTTTATTTTATTTATTACTCGTGTACTCGCGGAAGGCGGGCCTTCGGGGCACTCCATAGCGCCCTTTGCTTTCCACCGATACCGTTAGGCCGGACAGCAATACACCCATTAAATTACGTGCTTTGCTCACTTCGTCTAAGTGCTTAAAGAGCAAAATTTATTAATGTAAGCTTCGGTCAACTTCTCTAGTTGGCTCAAAGAGCTGCGATTTTGAATGTTCTTTTGATTAGGTCACTGTTAAAAATGTGATTTTCAATCAAGATTACTTTCCTTCACAGGTTACCAATGAACCTGAAAGAACACAGGAGGATTTCATTTTGAAACCACGTGTTTTGTTCATTATTTCCTTACCTAATATTTTATACCAGAAGTTAATCTAAATCAAATACAAGGCTAATAAAACTCTTATATTTTCGTGTTCCTCAATCGCGTCCCGTATTAGAATAAGGAAAAGCTACGCTCACTTCCTTCAGATATTGTGCGTGTTTTAGAAAGATGCAAAACTTAATATTACCTTGTTAGCTATCTTACGTGAGACCTTGGTTATTTTAGCAGAAAACATGAACATACAAAACGTCTTCACTAACAATTTTACTTAATATAGGAGCGTAAATGAACGACGTACCGCCGTAAAATTATGACCCATATGTCATCACGTGTTGTTGAGTGAAAAAATGAAAGGTAAACAACGTCGTCGCTAGCATATGTATCTAAACAGGCTACTTAACGCCGATACACACGGTCGTGTTTCCTTCATTTCCCTGTCTCGCACAACGTCTAAGATGCGATCACTCGAGTGTTTGCACCTCATTGGAAGGATTTGAAAGGAATTGATTGAAATTACAACATGGTATCTTGAATTGTGTGAACTTACTGCATACCCCTTATGGATAGAAGGTCAATTAACGTTGTGTAAAATGTCGAGAAAAAAATATTTTATAGGAGCGCATACTAGCTCTTTCTGTTTATGAAACACACTACTTCACAGCTTCCGCCTTCATACTTAAAATGTTGAAACAGTCTGCTTAAAAATGGCAAGGATAACTTTGAGTTACAAAAGCAATTGAACATAGGAACAGAACACAAAAAGAGTGTCAAGCCATTCTGAACGATTCGTACACTGTCACAATTAGATGTATCAAGGGTGGTTTCGTTTGAAAACAATACTTTTAAGGGTTTGTTTTTAATTATTATATTCCTGGAATAATCGAAACGTCCATTAATTGTTGATAGCTAGGTGTTATAACGATAAAGGTCTGAAGTACCAGGTTGTGGAGTATAAAAAAAAACCAATTTTATATTTTCTTTACTTCGGTCGTTGTTTACAAAATATTGCTTTAACTCAGCCTGCTAATATTTTATGCGCAGCAGGGACTCTTGCAGATCATTCTTAGAAATCAATAAATACATTTCAGTTTTTACGGTTATTGGTTTAACAAAATTATATGCTCGCAAACCAAAGTAATTAGTTCCATATTTAGATCACCATATAGAACAAACCGTGAATAATGATGGTATGTTTGCTAACATCCGTGCATAGTAATGACTATAGACCATATATGATAGCATATTACTCGTGCTGCTAGTATTTATAAAAAAATACAACTTACACTTAGCTACAAATCTTCAAAATCATATTTTTTTATATATTGAAGTTTAATAAACTGAAACACATACTTATATTATAGTTCTCTGCGCACAATTTACGACAAATTACTTTAGAACGCAAGATGTTCGACGTCTACGACCAGAAGGGAGGAATTCATTTGCAACAACAACTAACGTACTAATTTTCACACTATGTAATTTATATCTGAAACCGGGAAATCATATGCATAGAGTTTCCTTGCTTAAGTTTACCCTCAATGCTCAATATAACGTGCAAAAATGTTGCACGACAAGGATACGCGTAAGCACCTGCCACATTTCTGATTAATTATAGCGTTCGCTTAATTTATTGTGTTCTCTTCTAACGCTATACTTCGGCGATTGATTTTATAAAAATACCCTCCGGACAATGCTAAAATATCTGTCTGTCTCGGCAAGGTATTTGATTAGAGGCAACCTACGTAAATACACTGAACTGGATTTGTATTCCTGGGTGAGGTTTGAAAGTAATTCTTAGCATTGTGATAATTATTTAGAAGATTATGGTGTAGTGGTGTTCTGCGGCATATTGACCCCATTAGTAGTGTTGCGGTGCAACCGGTACTCTCGAACCGAGGGTTCAGTCCAGACAAAAAGCGGTTTACTTGACCGTGTGTCACGAGTGTAAAACAAAACGCACCGCCAATATCACAGCAATATATTGTCACGGGTGGTGAGTCGTGACCAATAAACAAGAAATAAACAGAAATAAATAAACGTTTAATGTGGCGAACTTGGGCCAAAAATAAAGAAGGAAACAGAAGAAAGCAGAGCGTCGCGGGCGTCGAAGTCGGCGTGTCAGCAGAATCGAGCGCTGGGGCGAGACTGACTCCGCTCGCCATGCGGAATCCCATGTACCCTCGTGGGTT